ACTGATAAGGGTTATTAGGAAGCAATACGAGGCAAGAACTATGAGCAGGTGGTTCCCTTCGATGAAATACCCGCCTCCTGAACTCTATTAAGTGGGTTGCCTTCAATCTCCGCTAGTTGTAACAACATTATGATCCATCTGTAAACATGTTAGCCATGAAGTTTCTGGCTTTAACGCTAAATCTTACTAAGAAGACAACCCTGAAATAGCATCAGTGCTGAACTAGTCATAGATAATAATAAATTTATTTCATAATTAAGTCGAAATGGTACTATATTGTGCAGTAATATACATTGAGTGCAGTGTCAGAAATTACTGAGGGGAGCAACGAAACTTCTTCGGCGTCTTTATTAATGACCGACCATTGGACACGGTTCGTGAGCGATACGAAAGAAGCAGGTTGAATAGTTCTTGCATGTAGACATCAATGGACAGCTCCTGCCCTGTTCTAAAATTACAACAAATTAAGATCATAAATGACTTTTAATATGATACTCATCTTCAATCACACGAATTCCATGCTTAACACTTAGAAAAAACACTCGGTTAAACTGCAATCCTGATCTTTGTGTAATTAAATAATGCTAGATGAAGAACATGCTCTTGCGAAAAGCAAGATTAGTCACACAACTCTACTCACCCGGCAATACTCGATCGAGTCCTTAATGATGAAAATGTACATTTCGCCTGTTACTATTCGACGTTCACAGGTCACTTCTCCTTTGGGTAATCTTCTTATTCTTTCATAAATCTAATACCAAGTCTTCAGCGCTCCGTCGCTATAGTTACGTGCACATGAGGTGCTGACTTATAACAGATTATGATCTATGAATCTAATGTTGACATGTGATGGCTTCATCAAGCAAAATATTCGACTTCCATCGTGTTATACTCGTTGTGGCACGGTTTCGTAAAACTCTCAGCTTTCGATGGGGTTTTGACTTCTACTCCAGCCAAGAGTTGACGGTGTTCAACAAATCGGACTCAGCGGACCTTAAACATCACTAAGCACAACATCGTTTGCCTTGAAATACCCACCACAACTAATTCAACTACTATTCATATTTCGTCTTAATCCCTCTGTATCATCAGTACTATGTACCTTCCCCTGGTGTGATTTCCAATGCCAATACCATCAAAACACGAACGTCAGTTCAGGAAACTGAATTCAAGACACATAAAAATAAGCCGCTTTTTTGGGTTGCCTTTTCACGAGGGTTTCACACCCCCATTTTTTGAGGTACTTCTATTTTAACCCGTAAAAAAATTTTTCTGTAGGGCGGTGCTTACGATAAACTAGGTTCAAAGAATATCGTAGCGCACCATAATGGCTCTGAGAAAAAAATCGAAAAAAATATTACTAAGGTATGTGAATCCCCTTCTTTCTCATTTGAAATAATTGCCCTTCACCCTTCCTCTCTTTCTTTACCTGTACATCTGCAATTATGAAGAGAAGCTTTAAAAAATGGTAAATTAGAAGTAGGGCGGGCCTTACGGGCAGAAAATAAACAACAACAATGCTACACGTTTCAATACCTTCAAGTCCCATAAAGCAATAAGACCATCGGTCCCGCATGTCGTGATTTTGAGAATATTATTTCTGCTGCCAGAATGTGGTAAAATTTGCCTAAAATTTTATACTAACAGTAGAACAAAAAGCATTTGATTAGACAAGAATCACTCACTTTATCATGTTTTGATGTAGTGTTTTCAGCTGGACATCAACCTGCTCAGAAGCCGCATTCCTGTTGAAAATAATCTTATAAAGAAGAATGTGAGTAATAAATGACAATTCAAACGACAACAATGCAGAAAAACCTGTCAATATTGCGGAACATTTGCAGGGCTGAGTTCACAGAAGAAACTCGTTGTTCTGATGGAACATCCAATTTACAAACTTCTTTCAAGCCACTATCAGTGACAGTGTACAAAACAGGGGAACAATCATGTCCCTACGAAACAATGAAATTAAAAGGGAGAGACAAGAAAAAACACTAATGAAAAATATCTCCACGAAACTCACTGCAGCAACGATGCTGTTCTCAGACACCCATTCTGCTGAAGTGAACGGAAGGCAACTAGTTCGAAGAGTGTGAGCTACGCTATTGTCCTTAAGAAATCGGTTTTTACTGTCAAAAGTAACTGCGAAAACGATATGGCAAATAAACTTACGCGATTGGCATCCACATAAGATATGGAGGAGTCATGAGCAACGAAGGCTAATCTGCATCCAGAGGGAGAAAACGACACATGGTGAACCCATCCAGATACTTGAAACTCTGTCATCAACTGTCCGAACGGCATCTTTGAGCCCCAAGGATTGGGTGATGGCTTTTCATCGACCTGAATTCTACGAAAGTAAAACCGTACCCCCTGTATAAAGTTGGTTTTGGAGTTTTTAGCTTTTCAAACTTAGAAGCTCTAAATTCAAAAGCAGTTGAGATGCGAGGACTCTTTGAACAATAATTACCTCCTTCACCCATGCCGAGAATACTCTCGCACGAAAATCACAGGCTCCCACGGCGAGCAAAACATTGTTAGGATGCCAATCAATGCAGTTCACGGTTGAACGTATTGGCTTTCGAATTTGTTTAGCTACCCACCTGCAAGAAAGTTAGTTGTCAGAAGAGCAATTATCCAAAAACCAAAAGAGACCGCTTACCAGTCATTTTCTTTTTCATAATAACAGACAGAAACCAGTTTGGAGCCACTCCCGACAGCAAATTTGTTTTCTTGTGGCGACCATTTTACGCAGGTTGCGGCACGTTGAAATCGGACCTGGAAAAAACATTAAAAAATAGGTTGTTCGGCATATTTTGACTATGTAAAAATGCCTGTAACCTCACCAGAACCAATTCTGGCTTCCAAACTCCTTTATCGAATGTCCATACAAATGCATTTTTATCTCTCGAGCAAGACACTATCCTGTTTGTGTTCGGGGCCCAGTCAAGGCCTGTGACTGGGAGATCGTGCTCTGTCAGTGCACATGTGTTTACCCAATCACCATTTTTCCAAGTAAAGATGAGAATTTCGTTGCTTGAGGCAGAAACGGCTATTTCTGAAAAAAGCTAAGGATAGGTGAAGGAAACATCAGAAATTCGAACCCATGAAGGACTTCTGTATGAAGGGAGTATGTTTTTAATCTGGGAAGAGGGACGAACACTCAAGTAATATTTAATATTGAAACACCAACTATCAAAACTACACACATATTGAAAGGAAATGAGAGACATTATGCTGGACTCTAATCCGCACAAAAAATAAAAAATTACTCACGGGTGCGGTCCTTGTTCCAAGCATGGCATGTAATTGGGCCTATTCCCAAATTCCAGTGCTGTACAGGAGCATCCCTCATCCCTGTAACAATGTTTTCTTGACATAGTGAAGACGGGTATCAAGGAGAAAGTCAGCATTAAGAGATTGACGTCAGGTTGAAAACAGTGCTTTAAATGAATAAGGGTTCACGTTTAGATACCTAGTCCTAAATGATTCCGCGCTTCTTCCGCTATGGAGGAAGATGATGAACCAACCTTGAGAATCAGGTGTGGAGCCTAAGCGATTAGAATGAACTCGATACCTAAATTCTCATTCCGTGATCGAACACCCAGACTTTTAAAGGGCTCGTTCAATCAGCAAATCTATCATTAACCACACTGGTAAGTAAAAAGACCGATAGGTGATGAAAACGTAGTGGGAGGGAGGTGGGCCACCAACATTGAAAGCTAGAGCGCAGAGAACAGAGCAGCCGACTTTACGAGCCGATAATGGCGCTTACGAACGCCATCATTAACTCTCCATTATGACCGGTTCCTAACCGAGGAAATGTAGTTTAGAGCCTCAGAAGAAAAGGAGCACCGAGGTTGTACGTTCAATCCTCACAGCATCCCAGCTTCTTGCTGAAGGTAATCACCTCACCGAACCCGCTACTCCTCCTGCTAAACATTACGTAAAAGCTGTTTTCACGAACTGTCTCCAAGCATAAGTAAAGTCGGCTGTCTCTCCCTGAATGTCGGAAAATAGGTCCACCTCTCAACTACATTTTTATCAGCCCTTGTATAAATCAAGTAGTAAATTGCTGTGTCTATTGTTCTCACGATTTTTTCAGCTGCTGCAAAACATCCCATGATAAAGGTATATGTATTTAATAAAACCCGCAGAAAATGAGGTCCTAACAGAAGATGAAGTTAAAAAGGTTGCTGTAATACTCATACAGCATAATCGTGCACTTCGCTTCGACCATTTATGAGCTCTCTTCTGCAGTAAAGCTTCCTACGTAAGCTGGTATGGGATAGAGTGAGAACAATGGAGTGAGAACTAAAAACTGGACTACAAATGAATCCTAACAGGATACACTTCATTACTAAGCACAGTATAAGCTACTACTGGTAACAGCANTTTGACACCGGGTCCATCGTGGTGTGGTAGAACACGGGCAAATAGGATAAACCATAATATCTAAAAAATAATTGCTAAAATAAGGTGCAAACAGCGAAAGAAAACCATGAAAAACGTCGATGCGTCACCCAAAACAAACCGATGGTAGTGCAATATTGCGTAGCAGCCACGTATTTGAGCAGCTACCATAACAGTAAAGTTTCAAAAACTGTTGTAATCATCTTGCAGTTGACCGAATTTATACAGAAGTAATCCCAAGTTATGTTGAAATTTCATTAGTTTCTTCGATGTTTCATCAGTTCTTGTGTGTTTCAAAGCGATGAAATGCCTCTCTTTTATTTCAGAGCAAGAACTTTCAGGCACTCGTGGAGTAGCCTTATTTGGATAGCAGTAACTCCTATCTGTTCAAATGACACATCGTGATCCTTTTTTTAAACTTTTGCGGTGCATGACTTGTTATCTTTATCTCTATATCGCCGTAATCAGCTGTTCTGGCCCCCAATCTGGAACTTGATATCAATTGAGCCCTTTTCCTCGAAGCTTCCTTTTGTCATCATTCCTTTTCCTTAGCTCTGTCATTTCACGTAGCGTTTCTATAATCGTGTATTTAGTTAGTTATCTTTACTCGGATTCAACAATTTTTTTTTTCAGGGAAGCTATCAGTTTACTCGGTTCACAAATTCAAGAACAATGGAACGATTTCTCCGACTTGGTGGTCTTGGTGGCGGGATCGGCCAGGTATTTTGATAGTTCTTTCTATAGTTTACAAGCAGCCTTGGAAGTGACGCTTTGGCATTTTTTCCGTGATGAATTGAAAACTCGTTCCAGTTTGGTGGAGGTCCACCATCTGATTCGAACCAAGTGGATACTTCAGAAACAGTATACATTTCGTCACTTGCTTTGCTGAAAATGCTCAAACATGGAAGAGCAGGTGTTCCCATGGAGGTGCTGACTTGTTTTGCCGTTATATCTTATCCAATTATTCTTTTGTGCTAAGTTGAAAACTGAAATTTAAGGTCATGGGCTTGATGTTGGGTGAATTCGTTGACGAGTACACAGTGAATGTCATTGATGTTTTTGCGATGCCTCAGTCAGGAACTGTGAGTCCAAATATGCAGGTTTCAGAATTATTTCGGATGAAATATTCTTTTACGTCTAGGGAGTATCCGTCGAAGCCGTTGATCCAGTTTTCCAAGCTAAGATGTTGGATATGTTAAAACAAACTGGTCGTCCTGAAATGGTCGTTGGATGGTTAGTTGTCGAACTTCTATTTTTCTCAATTATCTCATCTGTTTCCTTTTTAATCCAACTCAAGTAATTTGTAAGGCGAACTATCTTTGAGATTTGTGTAGTAATCAGGACATAGGTAAAGGGCATCTTTCAACAGCGACGGGGTTTTCAAACATGATCCTCTCCCTTAGAAATGGCTTCTTTCGAGATGGCTTCAAATTTTGGATGAATTTATTTTCATTGCTTAATTACCTTTTTCTATCAAATGGTGAATCCACTACGTCGATATGTTTGTTGCGAAATTATCAAAGAAAGAAAATCAGAAAATTCTGGTCTGTATATTTTTGAAGGCATATTTTACTTCAGAAGCGGTTAGGTACTAATCAGTAACTTGAAAAGCATTGGGATTCCCTTCCCTGAACTCATTCGGTCCTTAATGAAAAAATGTGAAGGAATTTGTGCAAATTTCTTTCAATGTTGATTCGCTGCGTAACCTTCTCCGACGTTACAGGTATCACTCTCATCCTGGTTTTGGTTGTTGGCTCTCTGGCGTTGATGTGAACACCCAACAGTCTTTCGAAGCACTGTCTAACCGAGCGGTAGCCGTCGTGGTCGATCCTATCCAGTCCGTCAAAGGAAAGGTACGCCTAGCCATTAGTTTCCACTCATTTTCATTTGGTTCGTTTCAAATTTCATTCGATTTTGTTCTTTAATTAACTCTCGTGACTCCCCTTTTTCTCTGGACTGTCACGTTTAGGTGGTCATAGACGCTTTCCGTACCATTAATCCACAGACCATGGCTCTCAACCAGGAACCGCGGCAAACTACCAGTAACCTTGGTCATTTGCAGAAACCTAGTATTCAGGTATATCGTTCAATTTGGCAGCTTCGGTAGCACTATCCGAGTCATGATTTCGGCGTAGAGATACCAGTTCTGACCGAATCTTTTCAGGCCTTAATTCACGGACTCAACCGACATTACTATTCAATACCTATTGCGTATCGGACTCACGATCTAGAACAGAAGGTTGAGATTTTTAAGCTTCTTTGTTCAGCGTTGTGTTATACGACATACGTTTATACGATTGTTTACCTTGTTTTTTAGATGTTGTTAAACCTCAACAAACAATCTTGGATGGACTCATTGGCTGTGCAAAATTATACCGGTTGTAGTGAAAAGAACAAAGAAAGCATGACGGCAATGCTAAAGCTAGCTAAACTTTACAAAAAGGTAATTAACAGATGCTTTTAAGCTGTACGTTGTTTGCATTCGCATCTAATACCCCCTCTTGTAGAGTGCATTGCTAGTGAACTAAAAAGACCTATTCGAAATTTGGGTATTCTGAGGAATTCGTGTAGTCCCCTTTTTTNTTTTTTTTTCTGTGGGAGTTTATTGCCTGCCTACTCTGCCGTAGTAGATTACGACGTTATGGTTTTGCCCATACACCGCTGGTTGTGTACGGTAACCCATGAGTCAGTAATCGGCCGTTTTTCTTTGCTGTTTCTAGGGACCTGTGAAAAATTACATTATAAGAATATCTTGTCTCTCTAATTGTTTACTGCTCCCAAACTTAATTCATTTTTCAATATTCGATTCCTCTTATTTTGCTTTGATATCCCGGCGGTCTCTAACTAGAAAAGCCGTACGTTTAATATCGTTTTTGGAGTAATTTTTCAAATTTGTTGAAGGCCCTCGAAGATGAAGAGAAAATGACGGATGAAGAACTCGCTATTAAAAATGTCGGTAAACAAGATCCCAAGAGACATCTTGGTGAAGAGGTGCGTTGGTGCTTGTTTTCCTCGTAAGGTAGTTCTCTGACCAATTTCCGTACGATTCTTTTTCAGGTGACGAAGATGCTCAGTGATAATATTGTGCAAAATCTTGCTGGAATGATGGACACCACTTCATTTCAATGATTTCATAATAATCTTGTTATTTATAAATGTTTTTTTCTGCCCAAATGAAATAATTTCGTTCAATTTTGAGATCGTCCAAAACAAAAAAATATGAGGCTCTCCTATAACGTCTGCCAGGCATGATCAAATCCAATTCTGCACTTGGAAAATCCCTAACAAGTTCATACTTTTATTTGTTTCCTTGCTCCGTTTCTGGAGACGTTCAACGTATTTAAAGACAGTTCGCTGAAGTTGGAAGGCACGACACTGCGCTTTGCCTCCTTGAAGGCACAGTTCACAATAAAAACGATCTTCACGAAAACTCTCCCTAGCAAGGCTCTGAAAAGGTCAGTATAAGGAACGCTGTGGGCTCGAAAAACGGTCTAGATAGGGCATCATAGGGGCCCTAAGACAACTGATTGGCTTCTCAGAGTAATGACTACCAAGAAAAAAGTATTAAACACAGGGGTTGGACGAGAATGTGACGACAAAAGTTGTATGGTATTAATATAAATGTGTATGCCATTGTAGAGAGCTGACTACAGTAAGTTGCTTGCGTGCAACGTGTGCGTCCCGGTGCGAATGGTGCAACTTATATAGCATCTACAACGCTGTGGGAGCTCGTCGGCTTCGGATGTGTACATCGACTAAGCCTGTTCTGGGGCCTTACTATACCCTATCTAAGCCTTTTCTCGACCCATCTGCATCCCCTGTGCTATCCTTGGGATTTAGACAGATCCTAAGAAAAAAAAAATCTCAGAAAAACATTTTCGTCTGGAATGGCCTACATTGGTGTTTAGAAACGGTCTTGAGTCAGAGGATGAAAAGTTTAGAAAATGTGATCTTACCTCAATTAGCAGAGTTCCCAAGGTAATCCTTGCTTGTTGTAATATAGTCCTAGCAACGCTCAATATTGAAAGCGCAGCATTAATCCTCATTTATGGGACCACATCCATCAACCAATTTTTTCCTTTTGGTCAAGGAGAAAATGGGAATCGTCATAATAAAACAATGAACACATACGGAAACATTTATTGAAAGGCACTTATTACACACATCATGGTGCTGAGCAGAGTTCAAGCTAGGCGGAGCATTCTCAGATATCGATTCTGGCAAAAGGCCAAGAGATTCAAATTGAGGTCGAATGGCATCACTATTCAGCACACAAAACACGGTACCTAAATTGTCTTACACGCTTGAGTGATGACTGTCGTGGCGGTCCACAACCCTTGGGGAATTGAGCGGAACTATCGACGCGTCAGCGTCGGCGGCCATCTACGACAACAACTCCAACTGGGTCATCCTGTGGAGCCACTACTTCGGTGATATAGTGGATATGAGCGTGGTTTATTCACAATTCAAACTCCGGATGGCAGAAAGAACGCTTTGGACTTCATACGGTAAGCGCGGCCTCAGCGGCATGGCTTTAGCATCAAAGCTGCTGTAGCGGAGTCCTTGAGCTCGGGATTAAACCCAAAAAGGTATCACATGCTTCCCTGTTCGAGTGATATACTGGTATTCTTCGTGCCAGTAATAATGCCATAATATGTAGTCGAAAATGTGATTAGTGCACGTGCCGACGCCGAAGTAGAAAATGAGCAGACTGAGATGTGGATTCACCGGATGCAGTATTGAAACCAGCAGTTTGTCAGCTGTAGCAATCGTCAGAATTACCAAGCCGAAGCAGTAGGCATTCTGTATGATGAGCTGAGGCCATAGCAGTAATGGATGTGGATGTGTTACGCCCACACAGGTAACTGAAACGTGAAAAGAATTAGTAAGATCTTAGAAGAGTCCTACATAAAGATTCTTTTACCAGTATAATTGAAACTAGAGTGACAAGCCAAAGCCTGGAGTTTCACCAAAACTTTCAACAATCAAAAGAGAGAAGGCACTCAGCTGACTCCCCAAAAGAAAAAGGGTGGAAATCTAGTGAGGGGCGGGATTGGTGCCCCAATGCCCAGGGTGCGCGCCCGCACGCGTCATACCTCTGTCAGCGGCTCCAAACTTCAACTACCGTAACCAGCAAATGAGATGGCCGTAATCATTCATATTGTACAAACATTGCGCCTTCCAATTACCCATTGGATTTCTGAGACCCACGGTATGCCAATCGAGCCCAAATTCACTTGCTGGTGTAGTTCAGTGGGAGGGAGGGTAGGGGAAGCATCTCCGTACCGTTGTCTGCGCTCCCTCGGCCATGTGATATGCTGATCAATTACTCCACCATTTCAATTTTTGCACAAAATCGTAGGCTTTGCCTTTCCTCCACGGGAGCCGACCCCACGAAAACCGGAGCCCTATCCTTTCTTGCGCTGCTTGCTTCAGCTCTGATTTTTAGAGAGCAGAGCGCGGTGGAGGAGCCCTGACAGCTACAAGCCCCCCGATAAGAAATTCTAGCAGCCTCCGACCTACTGGAAAAGCTGGCTACATCATTCACGCATGAACCTTGCAACTCGCTTCTTGACTTATTGTTAGTAGTTGTGAGCACTGATAAGATTCCGGCATTATCTTCATTCCTTCAGCTCAGAGGAAGTAACTTAGGTACATTCTTACCATTGCTATTTACCTACTCAATCAGGGCTCCTACCGCTGGTTCTCAAGTGATGCCAGCCAGCGCCTAATTACTAAGTATAGAAGTATCGATGATGACAAAGATCTCGAAAGCTCACCGACGGTCAGTGCTAGGGCAGCCATTTGTCCTAAACACCATAAACATCGCATATATCCGCCGTCTAAGTAATTAGCGATGCATTCTTGAACCTGTAAAACAAACTTCTGAGCTTTATTTTCTACAATCTTTATATAATTTGTGTACGCTGCACACCAAGCTGCACTTCAGTCAATATCACACAGATTAGAAAAATACAAATTATAAAATATTATAAAAGCAATTGCCCATGAGCTATTCCGGATTTTTGATGAAAGTGGTGATATGGAAGACCCACAGAATGTGAGGCTTCAACGGAGGACGAAGTTCAAAAGGAAGGTCACTATAATGCTAGTGATAACGCCTATACAGCAGAGACCATAGCCTTACACTTGGCCTCTATCAACGGCATCATTTAATGTCGATATCAAGCTTAGAAGAGTGAAAATTCAGAAATATTACCAGTCGGAAAAGAGAAATTTCAGAACAAAACTTTCCACGATCGCTATTTTCTGTGGAAAAACATTGCTCTTGTGACAATCTAGCAGGAAACAAAGCTGAAGAAGTTGAAAAGCCTACCTGTATGAGTTCGTGGAAAAGTCCAAAGTCGAAAATGATCACATCGGCACTGAGGAAATTTCCAGCATTTGGAGAAGACTCGTTGAAAGAACATAAGAAAATCTAGAAAAACAATCGATCAAGCTACTCACAATCATTCCGCATGCTCGAAATCCGATCTGGAAAGTAAGGGCCCCTCACGTTGGGTTTTTTCTAGCCCCATATTTCATAAAACTTGAAGTACGCCTTAGGACTTGACAATGGAGTGCTGATAATTTCGAACAATTCTATGCCGAGAAACATTACTGGGTGGGCCAATCGTAAAAAACTGCCAGAAACGCTTAACAAAACAAAAACTCCGAAAAAAGAGGCTCTCACATTTCAAGAGCACATGTTACACGCTTATTTTCCCATCTACCTTCAATTCTTACCTTATTGAAATTCACTACGGAGTAAATATGCTGTGCTAGAGATACGGTAGCGACAATGAACTGGGCGATGGCCAAGAAGATGACTATAGATCGATTCTTCACCCATATTCCACAGAAATACGTCCACTCATCCTGCACTCGAACGCCACGACACATCGTATCTGAAGTTTAAGCACAATACATACAACGTCATCTCAGTCTGCAAAATAAATGAATTGATTTTGAGTCATGAGAGAAAATCTGGGAAATTCCGGAGGATGGTCACCGGAACACCCGCTGTCACGCGATGCTGGTCGATTCGATTCTGCTTCAGCGGTCCTCTAATTATTCATCAAGGCGGTGATCGGGTAGACGACCTATCTGGTTGAGGGGGAATTTCGGAATAGTGGGCAGTGGGTGTTGCTTGTAATATGCATAGGTGTGACATCAGCTATCTTAATCCAGGATTTCCACTCTTCCTGCCTACACGCCTTAAGTGGAATGAGGTAGATGAGCCGGTGTAAGCCGTTTAGCCGTATAACCCTCGTGAGTTTATTGCACTTTTGAAATCCGGTCTAGCCAGTGCCACTACCTCATTCAAATCGCATATTTAAACACTTAGCACAACACTATGTGAAGCCTGAGGTTAACAGTTATGACCCTGTTTTGCACTTTTCCACCCACATGACGCCCACCTATAGGAATTTGCGTAAATTTTCCTCCATCTAGCTTTCAAACATGCAATATACCACATAAAATACTTGGAAATCGGCAAACAAAAGACCGAAGAAATGTATGGAGTAACGAATATGAAAGGGGTGAAAGAAGATATCAGACTGCTCACCCCTCATATCAAACCCGTAAACAGATGCAGGCTCTAGAAAGCGATCATCGTGTCATCTACTGAAGGCATAGTCCACGATAAAGATTGTTCCGGAGATTAGTCCACGATAAAGGTTGTTCCGGAGATTCCTTACTGGTAGCAAATTATAGACCCTGAGAGCCCTCATGGAATATTAATAGGTTGAAAAGTAACTTAGAAAGGGCACAATAACCGGTCTCAACACCCACTTACTCCCCGGAAAGGACGTGTTTATCGGCGTTCTAGATCCCGCTATCATTCAAAATGGAGCACGTTTGTTGTAAATGTAGTTAGCTAACATAATCCAATAACTATACACGTACGTATGTCAGTTATTGGATTATGTCAACTAACTGCATTCACAATAAACATACCCCATTCTGAATGAAATCTCCCATTTCCATATCAACAGCTGTCAAGAGTAGGAGTGAATAGTTCAAGAAAAAAACACCCTTGTTTCTCGTGACAGTCTATTTAAATCAGCAGGTCGGTAAAGACGTGAAGGGCGAAAGAGCACAATATCCCTGATTACAGCAAACCGCTGCAATTAGGAATATCCTCTCGAAATGACGCCTTTTGTGCATTACGTATTTAATGCAGGATGATTCCCCGTTGCCTTGGTTTCATAATTGAAAAATAATGGATGAGAAGGATCCTTGAAGGGGAATCAAGCCAAAAATCCCCTTATCCATAGTCACTTATCGCTCTCAAGATATTAAATACAAGAATATAGAAGGAGAAAACAGCTGGAGATCGAGATGGTGGAGAAAGACTCCCAGATTGTCAAGCTGACACCGTCCGAGAGACGAGACCGCTTTCATCCCGGGTTGTTAAGTGATATCACAAGAGAAGCCCCTAAGAGTGCATATTATTATGATTAGTTTGCACTATTAGGACATTTTCAATGAATTAAAGTGAAATGATATTTTAGGTGGAAACGAATTCTTCATTACAACGTACTCCTGGGTAATGTCCGTAATTAAGGTTTGAATTACCGGGAAAATTCTATCATTTCAAGTATAATTTGCGTGGAATCACTATGTGGCTTCCACGTACTTGTGAAAATAATCGGGAAAGTCTCAGCGAAAAACGACCAATAATATCTTATGAAATCATAGAAATTGCCTCAGGGCGCTGAGAAGTGCAACGTAAGCGGTTCATGTAAAAGCTTTGCCCTCGGGAAATGGCCTTTACCTTTATTGAAAGCATAGAGGGGAGAAAGCATGGCATCAGGACATTCTTTGTCATAAATGCATTCGATTCCTAGGAACAATGGTGGCTATTCAGCAGATTACCAATGATGCGGAACAGTTTCTAGTCCGTGCTCCCCTACGCCCCTACGTCAATTTTGCAATTAAGCAACACTATAGCATAAAGTATGGGAGCTTTTCAGAAATATCAGACAAGCAAGATCGAGAGAGACCGCTTAACCTGAATCGAAGAAAGACTACCAGAGTGGGAAGATGGAAGAAAGGGCTATTGTAAACTAACTCATCGTTTCGGGATAAAAATGACGATAAAAACTGCAGAAAACCGCTCTCCCTCCCATGGTCTGTTTTTTGTGGACATCTGCCCCAAAAAGTGATGCTCACTGCATTGATAGGAAGAGTTTCAAGTGATCCACAGAGCCGCAGAATTTCGCAGCACAAGTTCAAGTCTACAGAGCATGACCTCACATTATAAGTCCAAGCCTACTTACTTTGTAGGGCGATCTGAGGATAGGAGGCGCTCCAATTCAACAAAGGACGTGAAACTGGATTTCTCGGTGATCTACTACGATGTCCTAATATAACCCTAGAAATAAACTGTATTGGGAGGGCCTACTTCGAGTGTTTGTTACGTTTTTTCTCTTTTTTTTTTTGAGATAGAGTAGGCCCTACACAGCATTGATGTTTTCAATTAAGACCTTCCTAATCACAAACTGTGTCTCCAAACATACAATGGGGCTCCATCAGTACTCCTGAAAGCTCGGTCTCGTGAGGCGATCTACCACCACTAATCACTTTATTTTAGGCTTTTGACCCCGAAATAAACAAGAAAGATTCTGAACGAGCAGATCGGCTAAGAAGAAAGATCACAATCAGGACTCAAATGTAACGGGACCCGGTAGACTTTTCTTTTTCTTTGTTGGGAATTTCGGAGAGAACATAGTTAGGGCCCTGCTCAACAAGTTATTCAATAAGGTTTAAGTATAATATAGTATACCTCGGATACCTATCTTCCCTTTCGGTTCGCCATTTATGCTCTCCAACATACTACCAAGAAGGTCTAATCACATCTGCTGTCATAAAACTGTAGGCTCATCTAGGAGAGGGGAAAGGGAGCATAATCCAACGAGAAAAAGAACATTAGAATGTACGATGGGAATGTTCCTCGAAGCTCTTCCTGGAATGCGATGATGAAGGAGTTCGTGAGCCGCTGTGGCCACGTTTATGAGCCTATAGTACTGTTTTGATCAACTTAGGCGTAGTTCTATACAATATATAGCATTTGTTGTAAGCAGAACGCGAGGATGTTCGCTGCCGAGTTTCCGAGAGAGTAAGAGACCAAGATGGCAAATGAGGACCCAGTGACTGACGAAATGTTCCCGAGTCTCTTGGGGTTGTTCACAATACTCTTTTGGGATTTGCCCCTGCACTGGACTTCAGTTCGGGATCGGGTCAGAGCCAACGTGTGTGAAGACTGCGCAATGGCCTCCGGCGGTAAGCCGGGAACAATCAGTGCTTTCATACTCCCAGATGGGTTTAGAACTAATTAGTTGACCACTGATCAACAGGAGCTTCAGTTGCCGTCGGCCAATTCTAAGCTGGGATTCCATGCTCGGGTGAAACACTTGTTGATGTGTCATTGGAACCTTTCCAATTGGTTTTTGCTCTTTTTCTCGAGCAAAACAGATTCCATCGAACAAAAGCAGGCCTATAGTCCCCATGGATCTGAAAACACTTTTACCACAAAGACCTGTGTAAATCGAATTCTCAACCAGGAAGCCTTAAAAAGTGGGTGTTCTGCCACTACCTTAAAAACATATTTTCTTCAAAATACAGCATACAAGGTGTGATGACGTCAAGGGAGTTATCAATTTTCACATTAACTGGGTGAATTTCTTCCCGTACAAGCTAACCGTTGAATGTCCCTAAGTCAAAAAAGTTTCGAGAGAATCCGAGGAACAGCCGACACATCAAACCAGGCGCACTAAATACTCCCCAACCTTTGCTTCCAAGAACCATAGTACTTCACACAAATATAAATACTAATACTAATAAATACACCCCAATATGGATAAAGTATACCTCTACAACAGTTGACTACTAGCACGATTTCGCATTGTTTGCCCTTTTCTGAGGATGGGTTACGCATTCATTGCTAACTGAACTCCAATGGAGTATTTGAGCTTACATACCTTTCTGGCTCTTTAGAGACCTGCGAGTATAAACCGGTACATATTAGTGCTTGGGACTTAAGCCTGAGCCTACTACAAAGTATAAACCTGAGCCTACAACAAAGAAGTGAAACTTTGGTTTCGGCATTTTCATATCAACATTTTTTCAGGTGCCCTTGCTCTCATCTCGTCACTGGCGGACGATTTCTACTTCGGTCTCTTAGAGTGTCTGGAAGGCTAAGCTGGAAGCTGTAATCAATGTAGCAACATTAGCATGGAAATAAAAGCAATGATGTTGTTGAAGTACGATCAGAAAACTCTTCTTTCTATGTCGTCATGGGGAAAAAGCAGCATTATGCAGCAAGTAATCAACGACGTGCGGAATTGCGGAATTAAAAGCAATCATACATGATTAGTGGGATTACGAAGATGCAGATCCACACACACATGGAAATAAGACCAAAGCATGAGAATGAGAGAAGGAAAGATAGCCGAGAACGAGGATTGATTAGACCAATCTGCATGGACCAGCTGAATTTGTATCAAAGCTCAGAGCAGACTAGAAAACGAACTTTCTGGATTCCATCTGGTTAAAGCTCCTGGATCATCTGACTGTTACGCAACCAACCAAGTGGATCCGCCCTATAATCCGTTGGTGTCCTTGCCAAAAACCTTTTTTTTCGGAATCTTGTACATGTGATGAGATTAGGATGAGGGTTTGAAATGAGGACAGCCGTCGAATGAAGCATGTTGTCCGTGAACCTCTGTGCCTATTGCATTTTATTCCGCTATAAGGTTACTATAGGAACCGAATTCCCGTCGTGGGTTTCCGTCCCTATAAGGAGATTCATCACCTTGCAGACTCAAAAAATCGCAACCCTCTCTTTTATTCAACCAGCTACCCTCCCCATTACCAGTTGCCTTTTTAATGATCCT